TGTTAGAGTTATATAGGGCTACAGAAAACACAGCCGCCTCAGCTGCAGCCTTCACCAACATTGTGTACAGCTCATGCTCACAGTGGCCCTTATACACCCAACAACAATAACATAACCCCTGTCGTTACATACATAATGACTTATTTTATTCATTCTAGAGTATATGTCATGTTTCTACATTATTAATATTGTTTATTATGTCATATTAGTTGAATTGTGATAGATAAACAATAAATAATAGATAAACAATAAACTCACCTCCCTCTCCCCTCCACCCGGTCTGCCATACACCAACAAGTCTTTTCAATAAAGGTAAGTGTGATGTTAAATGTTCATTTATACATTTTATTAGTGCTTTATATTTATTTGTCGTTCTTTTCTGCATGAAAATCTATATTTAAGCTAGGTAAGTGACCCCTGATAAGGACCTAGTACCTCAAGTCCTTATGGAGGGGGATTCCCCTTCCAAACGATAACCTCTCTTCCCTCTCCCCTCCTCCCTGTCTTCCATCCATCAACAACAGCCTTCAATAAAGGTAAGTGTCATGTGTAATGTTCATTCTTCTGTGCATGTAAATCTATCTTTAAGGTAAAAAAAAAATTGTTTTTCTTGATACTTCTGGGTGTCTGGAACAGATTAATTCCATTTACATTGTTTCTTATGGGGAAAATGGTTTCTGTTTTAGCCGATTTCAGTTTTGCCTGATGACTCTGGAATGGATTAAATCTGAAAACCGATAGCCCACTGTAGTTCTTGTGATTTCATAGCCAATCTTTGTTTTCATACTAATATTAGGTACTGAAATAGTACTCAAATAGTCACAAACACACTGACAGGTGAACATTTTCACCTGCCTTAGTCACATACTATTGTCAAGAAATATATATATAATATTTATAGGTCCCAGCAATGTTTTAGACATGCTGGAGTATGCAGTGGACCCTCGGTTATTGGCCGTTCCTGTTATCTGTCAACTCGGTGATCAGCCGGTTTTTCAGCTTCCGGTGATCAGCCGTTTGGAACGCACCCGTCCGCTGGCTGGGGCCGCTTGTGCATCAGTTTGGCTGTCTCTCTCAGTGGATGAGGAAGCTTCTGCTCATACATCCAAACATTTTGCTTGTTTTCCATTTTTTTTTTTTTGAGTGCAACTGCAAAATAAGTAACCATGGATCCAAAGAAAGTTCCTGTGGCAAAGAAAGTGAGAAACACCATGGAATTTAAGTGTGAAGTGATTGAAAAATATAAGAGTGCTTTGCAAGTGCTAGAACTTGCAAAGATGTACAGAAAAAACAAATCTACCATTACATCCACCCTGGCAAAGAAAGGACAAATCAAGGATGCTAATGTTGCGAAAAGAGTAACTTTTCTAACGAAACAAAGGTCACCAATAATGGAAGAGATGGAAAAGTTGTTATTATTGTGGATTAAGGAAAAAGAATTAGTGCGAGACATTGTTGTGGAATCTATTATTTGTGTGAAGGCAAGGCAGTTACATGAGGATCTTCTACAGAAAACTCCTGGAACAAGTGCTGCTGGTAGTGAATTTAGAGCCAGCAAAGGCTGGTTTGAGAGATTTAAGAAGCATAGTGGCATACAGAGTGTTGTAAGGCATGAGGAGGCTGCAAGTTCTGACAAATGTGCGGCTGAAAAGTACATGCAGGAATTCCAGGGGTACATAAAGACTGAAGGATTCGAACCCCAACAAGTGTTCAGTTGTGAAGAAATAAGCCTGTTTTGGAAGAAAATGCCAACTAGGACCTACATCACCTTTGAAGAGCTTCGAGAGTTTATCTACTCTCTGAGCCTGGCCATGGGCCAGGCTCGTCTGGTGCTTGCCTGGTCAACCAGGCTGTTGCTGCTGGAGGCCCGCTGCCCCACATATCCATCACAGCCTGGTTGATCTGACACCTGGTGAAGATACTTGTCCAGTTTCCTCTTGAAGGCTTCTACACTTGTTCCAGCAGTGTTTCTGATATCTTCTGGTAAGATGTTGAAAAGTCTGGGACCCCGGATGTTGATACAGTGTTCCCTTATTGTCCCCACCACACCCCTGCTCCTCACTGGGTTTATTTTACACTTCCTCCCATATCTCTCACTCCAGTATGTTGTTATGGCAGTGTGCAGATTTGGGACCAAGCCCTCGAGTACCTTTCAGGTATATATTATCCTGTACTTATCTCTCTGCCAGGACACAAGCCTATGAAAGACAGGCTTACTCTTCTGTTGTGTGGTAATGCTAGTGGGGATTTTAAAGTGAAGCCTTTACTGGTGTATCACTCAGAAAATCCCAGTGTGTTCAAGAATATATTGGGTGTGATTTGGAAAGCTAATCATAAAGCATGGGTCACAAGGCAATTTTTCAAAGAGTGGGTTAATGATGTGTTTGGCCCAAGTGTGAAAAAATATTTCCTGGAAAAGAAATTGCCACTCAAGTGCCTCCTGGTACTGGACAACACTCCTGCATATCCTCCAGACTTGGAAGACCAGGTGTTTAGGGACTTCAGCTTTATAAAAGTAAAGTTCTTGCCTTTTAACACCACTCCTCTCCTCCAGCCCATGGACCAGCAGGTCATTTCTAACTTCAAAAAACTCTACACAAAAGCAATGTTTCAAAAGTGCTTTGAAATTACCTCGGACACTCAGTTGACCCTAAGAGAGTTCTGGAGGAATCACTTCACTATCCTCCATTGCATAAGCCTTATAGGTAAGGTTTGGGAGGGAGTGACTTCCAGGACTTTGAACTCTGCTTGGAGAAAATTGTGGCCAGGTTGTGTCCAAGAGAGGGATTTTGAAGGGTTTGAGGCTGACCCTGTGGACTATATTGTGGCACTGGGGAAGTCCCTGGGGATGGAGGTGAGTGGCGAGGATGTGGAAAAGTTGGTGGAGGACCACAGGGAAGAGCTAAACACTGAAGAGCTGCAGAAGCTTCAACTTGAACAGCAACAGACTGCAGCTGAGAAACTTGCTTCAGAGGAAGAGGAAGAATGAGTCAAGGAGATTAGAGAGATGTGTGCAATGTGGACTAGGGTGCAAGCTTTTGTGGAGAAATACCACCCTGACCAAGCAGAAACAAGCCATATCTGCAACATGTTCATTGACAAAACCCTGTCTCACTTCAGGGAAATCTTAGATGCGAGAAACAGACCTCTATGGACAGGTTTGTTGTGCGACGGGTCCAGTGACTCTCGAGCTGGTTCTAGTGGCATTAAAAGACAAAGAAGGGAAGTAACCCGTGATAAGGACTTGGTACCTGAAATCCTTATGGAGGGGGATATCCTTTCCAAACACTAACTCCTCCCTCTTTCCTCCTCTCTATCTTCCAGAAGCCAGCATTAGTCTTCAATAAAGGTATGTAATACTTATATAATTGTTAAAAAAATTATTTTTTTGTGAATATTTTTGTCTGGAACAGATTAATTGTATTTCCATTAATTCTTATGGGAAATAATATTTCGGTTTTCAGTCATTTCAGTTTTAGGCCGAGCTTCTGGAACGGATTACGGCCGATAACCGAGGGTCCACTGTATTTGAAACTCCTTGAGCATGGTGTAAGACGAGTATCACTCCACTGCTGACAGTGCAGCAGTGTAGTGACATTTGATGATCATGCACTGCCTTGGCTTTGTTTTTACTGTTACACATAAACATGTTTGTCTGTCTGTCTGTCTACCTCTCTCTGTTTATCTGTCTCTGCTTATCTGTATCTCTGTCTCTCTCTGTCTGCTTGTCTCTCTTTCTGTCTCAGAGAGAGCCATTCATGAACCAACAGGTATTACACATGATGCAGAATTGTCAAGTCTGATTCCTGAACAAGTGAAAATGCGTATTACCTGCCAGTCATGCTTAATATGCATTATATCTACAAGCACAGTATAGCACTTAGTCTTAATTTCTTGGGTTATCCTAGGCAATTTATACTATGTATAACTGTATTTATGTGTACCTGTGAGACAGAGACAGATACAGACAGACAAATGGAGATAGAGACAGCCAAAGTCAATCAGCCACCCAGCTGCCGGCCAGCCATACTGCCAAACACGTATTACACATTCCAGAATTGTTTCTCTTTACTTTGGGCATAAGTTATAGGACATTCTGGCAGGATGACACTACCAGTGGTACCAAAATTAAAAGGATGTTGCACATGGGTTATTATTGAGGTTTTCTGATATTTCCTCGACCACTTGTGGCCACATCACAGACCGGGCCATGTGGGCGTTGACCCCCGGAACTCTCAGTAAACTCCAAGTAAACATCCACCTCAAAGCCACTAAACTCAGGGTCAACATCACTTTCCTCTTAAATGGGGAGTGTTAATAGGACATGAAATCAGTGAATCCCTGGTGTTTGCCACACTGTTTGCTCTACCTGGCACTCAATTGAACTGGTGCTCCCACAAGGTACTAAGTGGTCCCAGATTTTTTAATACTGCACACACCAAGTGTTCAGACCCATTCTATGCTGACCAGGCATCTCAGGCCAAGTGTGCCAAATTTGGAGGCAGGAAAAATAAAACGTTGATCTACATTAGAAGCACTAGCGGTAACAATGTAGATCTACGTTTAGACAGTTAAGAGGTTAAGGGGATGCTGAAAAATAACAAATAATGGGTTTAAACACTATAAATAGAGTAAACGACAAACAACTTAGTTATATTGAAAACTACATTAAAAAATATTTACCTAGCAGGTTCTGCCCATTATTTTAAAAGTCTGTTTTTTTTATTATTATTATCACACTGGCCGATTCCCACCAAGGCAGGGTGGCCCGAAAAAGAAAAACTTTCACCATGTTGATTATATGGAGGGTTTACTTACATTTCTAGTTTTCACATCTGGATACAGAATCTATTCAACTTTTCTAATGGACAGTAGAATATACGAAAAGATTGTATTTCCATACAAAAACTGCAGAACACTCCAGAAAACCTGATCGCTCTCCTTTGAGCAAAACTGGTAAAAATACTTGAGAAAGAGAAGGAAACAACAACTGCACTCACCGCTCCTGGATACTGAGGTTGTGAACCTGGAAACCGAGGTTGACTCCACTGTGAGGACGGGGCTCCAGGAGGTGTAGAGTCATTGGGCCGACTCCACGGTTGTTGTGGGGGACCAGGTTGGTTCTGACCGGTGTATCCACCGTATTGGTTATTTGGACGCCATCCTAAAAAAAAAAAAAAAGAAAAGACCTTATTAATACTTATATTATCTAAGTATAATTATGTACAGTGTGTGAGCAGGGTAATATTTAGTGAAGGGATTCAGGGAAACTGGTTATTTTCACATAGTCGGACTTGAGTCCTGGAAATGGGAAGTACAATGCCTGCACTTTAAAGGAGGGGTTTGGGATATTGGCAGTTTGGAGGGATATGTTGTGTATCTTTATACGTATATGCTTCTAAACTGTTGTATTCTGAGCACCTCTGCAAAAACAGTGATAATGTGTGAGTGTGGTGAAAGTGTTGAATGATGATGAAAGTATTTTCTTTTTGGGGATTTTCTTTCTTTTTTTGGGTCACCCTGCCTCGGTGGGAGACGGCCGACTTGTTGAAAAAAAAAAAAAATTATGTACAGTACTAGTCACGGTATTAAGCCAGGTGAGCACCCCAGCATAATGCAGTGACAAAAATCAAAGGCCTACCATACAGGGGAAGTCTTTATTAGTCAGTGCATTATGCTGGGTAGCAGCCATTAGCATGACGTCACGGCCTGCCACCACACTCAACAGCGACTCCTCAGTGCTCACATGGCTGCCCTGGTGAGAGGAAGTGTTGCACATCTCTCTCTCATCCGCCCCGTTTTTTGTCCAGTGCTCCCTTTGGTTTTGGGGCTATACATGTTTGATTATAGGTAAAAGGAAGTCTTTAACATTTGAAACTATAGCTCAAATCATAGGGCTTCACAAAGTTGGGCACCAGACGAAAGAAAAAGTGGAGAATGTTGGTGTGTGTGTGAGCATTCAGTGAGGAACTGCATGCAGTGTTTCAAGGCTGGTGGCAGTGTCGAGTTACTGTCTGCCAAACCTCGACCTGGTCCGTTGAAGAAGGCATTTGTTCATACCGTAACTGTGTTATTTAAGAAGCAGTTAGAGAGTACACCAAAGATAACTGCTAGAGAATTGAAAGAAAAGAACCGACATCTTCTCTCAGAGGTGTCTGTAAAAACCGTTAACAGACGTATATCAGAATTCAGCTAGTCACCGCCAGGTTAAGAAACTGATCCTCTCTGAACCACAGAAGAAACGTAGGCTGGATTATGCAAAGAAGTATCTTCTCTGGAATCGTCAACTGTGGTCTAAAATACTTTGGAGTGATGAAGCAACCTTCACCAATACCTGTAACTGTGGGGGACATGTGTACCGGCCCAGAGGTAGTGACCCACTAGACCCACGCAAAACCTGTGGGACCACCAAACATCCAGACTCGTTCATGGTTTGGGGGTGTTTCAGTGCTCAGTGTGTTGGTGAACTCATTGTGCTTCCCAAAAACCAGTATAATTACCTGGAGTTATTGTGTGACAATTTACCCGAGGCATTTGACAAGTGTGGGGCTACGGTTTTTGTACTGGATGGTGCACCGTGTCATACTGCCAAATCTGTAGTTCAGTGGTTTAACCCTTTGAGAGTCGGTCATGTACATGTACACCTTAACAGCCTGGAGACCTGGAGTTTACCTGGAGAGGGTTTTGGGGGTCAACGCCCCCGTGGCTCAGTCTGAGACCAGGCCTCGTGGTGGATCAGGGTCTGATCAACCAGGTTGTTACTGCTGGGCACATACAAACTGACGTACGAACCACAACCCAGTTAGTCAGGTACTGACTTTAGGTGCCTGTCCAGCACCTTCTTGAAGACAGCCAAAGGTCTATTGATAATCCCCCTTATGTATGCTGGGAGGCAGTTAAACAGTCTTGGGCCTCTCACACTTATTGTGTTGTCTCTCACAACAGTTTTGTAACAACAAATATTACGAAAAAATTCTTATTACAGAGATAATACAGTGATGTTTGTCAACACAGCAAGATGTTAATACTAGGATGTTAAGGTGATGTTTAACACTAGGGTGTTAATGTGATGTTTAACACTAGGATCTTAAGGTGATGTTTAACAGTATTATTACACAACAACTTCATGACACTGATGCCACTGTAAATGTTATAACTCTAAAACTGTAGTAACACAGTGTTGTCACTATATATTTCTAACACTGTAGTAACACAGTGTTGTCACTACATACTTCAGAATTTGACACTTATGGGAACCTTATGATAATGAAAATTGACACTACAAGAAGAATATATCTGGTGCCAAAATGACCTGAAGTACTGGTACTACCAGCACCAACCTCTGCTACCAGAATGACCTGAAGTGTTGGTACTACCAATACCAACCTTGGCTACCAGGATGACCTGAAGTACTGGTACTACAAGTACCAACCTCTGCTACCAGGATGACCTAAAGTGTTGGTTCTACCAGTACCAACCTCTGCTACCAGGATGACCTAAAGTGTTGGTTCTACCAGCACCAACCTCTGCTACCAGAATGACCTGAAGTGTTGGTACTACCAATACCAACCTTGGCTACCAGGATGACCTGAAGTACTGGTACTACAAGTACCAACCTCTGCTACCAGGATGACCTAAAGTGTTGGTTCTACCAGTACCAACCTCTGCTACCAGGATGACCTAAAGTGTTGGTTCTACCAGCACCAACCTCTGCTACCAGAATGACCTGAAGTGTTGGTACTACCAATACCAACCTTGGCTACCAGGATGACCTGAAGTACTGGTACTACAAGTACCAACCTCTGCTACCAGGATGACCTAAAGTGTTGGTTCTACCAGTACCAACCTCTGCTACCAGGATGACCTGAAGTACTTGTACTACAAGCACCAACCTCTGCTACCAGGATGACCTAAAGTGTTGGTTCTACCAGTACCAACCTCTGCTACCAGGATGACCTGAAGTACTTGTACTACAAGCACCAACCTCTGCTACCGAGATGACCTGAAGTACTGGTACTACAAGTACCAACCTCTACTACCAGAATGGCATGAAGTGTTGGTACTACCAGTACCAACCTTTGCTACCAGGATGACCTGAAGTGGTGGTACACTACCAGTACCAACCTCTGCTATCAGGATGACCTGAAGTACTGGTACTACAAGTACCAACCTCGGCTACCAGGATGACCTGATGTCAGCCGGTGTCGGTCACGTACTCATATGCCAAAATCTGGTGGAAGAAAGCTGGTAGGCCTACATATGAAAGAATGGGTCTGCATGGTTAGTGCGCGCAGTATAAGAAAAATCATGCAGCACGCAGTGCGTGAGAAAAAAACTCCGACCATGTTTTTGGTTTAAAACAGCGACTTTCCAGTGTATTTTCGTATGGTATTTATGATTGTATTCTTGTTTTCTTGATCTTAATGATAGAATGGAAGATATATTACGGAAATAGAGATGATTTTGATTGGTTACATGATGAAAAGTATACCTCGAAATTGAGCTCAAAGTAGCGGAAATGTTCGATTTTTGCCGATGTGTAAGAGTAAATAATTCATGCCATGCGTCCAATACACATCAACTGGTGACTCTAATATTCTTTCACAAGTGCATTGATATTATTTATATCATTTTTACAATAATGCATTAGTCTGCGTAACAGTAAATCCTCTATTTTTTGTAAGAATAAAAACTCAAAACAGAAAGCAAGAGTAATATAAGAGGAGCCTGGAGATGTGACTAATGAACTGAGAAAATGCTATTTTAGTGCCAGGAATGTCTGTCTTATTTATTCTGGAACCTATTTTGAAATTGGCATCTTTTGAAATTTGTGTGAAATTGACCAAATTGCCAATTTCTGACCACTTTGTTGGGTAGCTGAAATCAGTAAATGGGTGTTTCTTGTATTTAATCAATAGAACAAATGGAGTTCTAGCGAAATAGCCATGACTTTAATCAACTAACATTTAGAATTGTCCGAAAATAGGGCTCAAAGTGGGCAAAAACGCAGATGCATAAATATCGTCGAGGCCACTAATTTCGCGAGAGCATAATTCCATAAGTTTTCCATTAAATTTCATACTTTTGGTGTCATTACCATCATTAAAATTTTTTTTTTTTTTTTTAATTTTTTTGACCCTGAGTGGCAGCAGGATCGAGGGACTTGACCCTCAAAGGGTTATGGACTGTGAAGTGAGGTTCTTTAAGAACATAAGAAAGAAGTAACAATGCAGCAGGCCTACTGACCCATGTGAAGCAGGTCCATGTCACAGTCTGGCTTAGCCCAATGACCCACCTAGTCAGGTTACTTCCACTAAAGGAAGGAGCATAGCATCAGACCTAGTAGCACAAGCTAGTCAGGTCCAACTCACACCCACCCACACTCACTCATGTATTTATCTAACCTATTTTTAAAACTACGCAACGTTTTAGCCTCTATAACTGTACTCTGGAGTTTGCTCCACACATCCACAATTCTATTACCAAACCAGTGCTTTCCTATATCCTTCCTGAATCTGAATTTTTCCAACTTGAAACCATGCTGCGAGTTCTGTCATCGCTGGAAATTTTCAGCACCCTATTTACATCTCCTTTATTTATTCCTGTTTTCCATTTATACACCTCATTCATATCCCCCCTAATTCTATGCCTTTCTAGAGAGTGCAGATTCAAGGCCCTCAGTCTATCCTCATAGGGAAGATTTCTAATACATGGGATCAACTTTGTCATCCTTCTCTGTATGTTTTCCAGTGCATTTACTATATCCATTCTGTATTACGGTGACCAGAACTATGCAGCATAATCTAAATGAGGCCTAACCAAGGATATATAGAGTTGAAGAACAACCCAAGGACTTCTATTATTTATATTTCTCACTTTATTGTGAACACTAATGAACTGTTGTCTTGATTTTAGATTACTGCTAACCAGAACTCCTAAATCTTTTTCGCAATCAGTAGTATTAACCCTTAAACTGTCCAAACAGATCTACGTTCACATGCGTAGAGCTCCAAAAGTAGATCTACATTTTTTTACATATTTTCAAATATAAAAAAAAAAAAACGTAGATCAAAGTTTTTTTACACGTTTTCAAATGTTAAAAAAAAAAGGTGTACGTTTTTTTACATACTTTCAAATGTTGAAAAAATGTAGATCTACATTTGG